GATTCGTAACCACTATGCTACCAGAGCTCCTTTGTTATTGTTGTTAGGTGTCATTAAATTGGTTGTGACTCATAGAGACCCTATGCACAACATACTGAAACTCTGCCCAGTCCTGCGCCATCTTCACAATTGTTGTTATGTTTGCACTCATTGTTTCTGCCACTGTATCAATCCATCTCATTGAGGGTCTTCCTCTATTTTGCTGACCCTCCATTTTACCAAGCATAATGTCTTTCTCTAGGGACAGGTCCTTCCTGATAACAAGTCCAAAATACAAGAGATGAAGTCTCACTTTCCTGGCTTCTAACAGCATTCTGGCTGTACTTCTTTCAAGACAGATTTGTTTGTTCTTCTGGCAGTCTATGGTGCTTTCAATACTCTTCTCCAACATCATAATTTTAGATCATAAATGTAGATAATAACTATGTTATGCTCAAATAATAAATGCATCAATTCTTCTCTGCTATCCAACTTAATTTAGAGCTAGAGATAGAAACTTTTCAATTATATTCATAATAGAATCCAATTTAATAAAAGAATGACATTGGTCAATATTATCTAAGATTAATCCTATCATTGGAACAGGAATTTTCAAGCTATATTTCATTCAAATGATAGTTTTAATCTTTCTATAATCCAGATTTTAATTATTTTAGTGATATACTATGTATCCCAATTATTTTTACCCCTTTCAGATACCTTCTAAGAAAATCTTCTCTTCAAATTCTATTAGGGCCCAACATTCCCAATCTCTTTAGTTCAGTTATGGGTAAAACGTTGATTACAGGAGCCAATACATAGACTGGTCTAAGCTTGAGAGACTCACTGTTTTCCATTAAGCTATAGAAGATTTCACAGACATCTGCTGCTGAGACCTCTGACCTTCCTGAAACCTGGCAGGTCAACTTTATCTTGTATTTCATTAAATCACCAAAACAGTTGCCACTAAAATGGTTCCACCTCAATTCATGGCGACTACATATGTGTAGAGGAGAATGTACTCCACAGAGTTTTCAATGGCTGATTTTCCAGAAGTAGATTGCCTTTCTTCCAAGGCAGCTGTCTTAGTGATCGAGTGCTTCATTAACAGGAAAACCACAAGTGGATAGCTTCAACAAACAGAAATTTATTTTCTCACAGATTGTGATTGTTGTTGTTAGGTGCCATTGTGTCATTTCCGACTTGTAGTCATTTCCGACCTTATGCGCAGTGGAACAAAGCACTGCCCAGTCCTGCGCCATTCTCACAATTGTTGTTAAGTTTGAGCCTATTGTTGCTGTCACTGTGCTAATCCATCTCATTGAGGGGCTTCCTCTTTTCACTGACCCTCTCCTTTACCGAACATGATAATCTTTTCCAGGAACTTCTCCCTCCTGATAATGTATCCGAAGTATGAGAGATGAAATCTCACTATTGTGGCTTCTAACAAGCATTCTGCCTTTACTTCATCCAACACAGCTTTGTTTGTTCTAGCACTCTATGGTACTTTTAATATTCTTCTCCAGTGCCATAACTCAAATGCAATAATTCTTCTACAGTCTTCCTTATTCATTGTTCAACTTTCACAAGCATATGAAACTACTGAAAATACCATTGCTTGGGTCAGGTACACCTTATTCCTCAAATTGACATCTTTTCTCTGGAACACTTGAACAAGGTCCTGTACAGCAGATTTGCCTAATGCACCACATCATTTGATTTCTTGACTGCTGCTTCCATGAGTGTTGATGGTGGATCCAAGCAAAATGAAGTCTTTGACAACTTCAGTCTTTTCTCGATTTATCATAATGTTATTTATTGGTCTGGTGGTGAGGATTTTTGTTTTCTTTGCATTAAAGTGCAACTCTTACTGAAGGTTGTGGTCTTTGACCTTCATCATTCTGTATTCTAAGTCCTCTTCACTTGAGCAAGCAAGGTTGTATCATCTGCATATCACAGGTTGTTAATGAGTCTTCCTCCAATCCTGATGTCCTGTTCTTCATATAATCCAGCTGTTCGCATTATTTACTGAGTGTATATATTGAATAAGCATGGTGAAAGAATACAACCCTGGCACACACCTTCCTGATTTTAAACCTTTCAGTGTCCCCTTGTTCTGTTTGAATGACTGCTTCATGGTCTATGTACAGGTTCCTCATAAGCACAATTAAGTTTTTCAGAGTACCCATTTCCTGCTATGTTGTCCATAGCTTGTCATGATCCACATAGTTGAAAACCTATTCACAGTCAGTAAAGTACAGGTAAACATCTTTCTGGTATTCTCTACTTTCAGCCAAGTCCACAAGATCTTAAATATTTGAGCTTGAGCATATCCCACCTGAATTTAGGGATCATCTCAAGAACAGATGTGTTGCATTAGACACTAGTGACTAAAGATCAGACTTGTGGGATGACATCAAAAACAGCATACAGGAAGAAAGCCAAAGGTCATTAAAAAGACAAGGAAGAAGGAAAAGACCAAAACAGATGTAAACAGAGACTCTGAAACTTGCTCTTCAGCATAGAGATGCAAAAGTAGATGGAAGAAATGAGGAAGTAAAAGAGCTATACAGAAAATTTCAAAGGTCAGCTCAAGAAGACAAAGTCAAATTTCATAATGAAGTGTTCAAAGATCTGAAGTAAGAATATCAAGAGAAGAACATTTCTCAAGCTGAAAGAACTGAAGAGAAAATTCGGGCCTTGACTTGAAATATTGAAGGATTCTATAGACTTCTGGTGTGGTGCTGTAGGATCAGCAGTGGGCCATGAATCACAAGGTCAGCAGTTCAAAGCCACCAGCTGCTCCTTGGAAACGCTATATAGGGTCACTGTGAGTCAGAACCGACTTGTCAGCACATAACAACAGCATGGGCAAAATATTGAATGATGAAGAAAGCATCAAAAGAAGATGGAAGGAATACACAGAGTCACTGTACTAAAAAGAAAAGGTCAATCAATGTTCAACCATTTCAAGATATGGCATATTACCAAGAGCAAATGATATTGAAGGAAAAAATTCAAGGTTCACTGAAGGCATTGACAAAAAAACAAGGTTCCAGGAATTGATGGAATATAAATTGAAAAATTTCAACAAACTGATGTGGCACTGGAGGCACTCACTCAGCTATGCCAAGATGATTAGAAGAGATTCATATTTGTGCCCATTCCAAAGAGAGGTGTCCCACTGAAATGCAGAAATCATTGACCAATATCATTAATATCACATGCAAGTAAAATTGTGC